ATATATGTATACATTTGAAAATCTGAAAGCTAACTTGTACGTTCATAAAATCCAAAAACGGATGGTATCAGATATTTATATCTTTTATAATCAACACAGGAGATAAACATAAGGATAAAACATAATTCTGTAACGGTAACAAGCATGACATTTTTACACACATGATGAGTCGATGACGTAAGGGCCCAACCTCGAGAGGAATCACTCCTCAGCATGACTCTTCCTGTGAACCTGGGGAAAAGGGTCTAAAAAGGGGTGAGCTGAAATACTCAGTGAGTGGGGGATTGGGGAGAGTTTGCAAAACATTCTTCAACAATAGTCATGGCATGCAATAGTTCTTATGAAATCCAGAAAACAACATGATTCTATGAACGTGTTATGGAAGTAACTAAATCATTCCTGTATGCATGTATAACTCGTTTTCTAAAATTGTTCTAAGTACTGTAATCTCATCATTTAAGCTGAAAACAAATTCTGAATTATAGCTCATCATTGAATGCTTAAAATTCTTTTACTGGAAACTTAAAACATAACTGTAAGTGCTTATGCTTCTGGGAACAATATTTCCTATAAGTCATGCTGCAACCATCTATGTCATCACTCAAGAATGCATATGATTATGAAAATAATAACTCTACTAGTCATGCTACAAACATCCAAACCATCATTCAATGAACACTCAAGAAAAACAAAACAAAATCTAGTAACTAAATTTATAACTATTGTGATGATATAAAATTGAAGACTGATTTTTCTGAAGCTATGCACTGATAACTGATTTTGGAATACTGTAAACTTTATGCTAATAACTGAAATTTAAACTGGATACTGTAGCTTTTACTGATACTGAAAACTATAAGCTGATATCTTATCTTAAAACTATGGCTAATATTGAAGGCTCGCTTAACATTCTTAAAACTCATATTGAGGCTATCGCTCGTAGCAGATACTAAAAACTGAATGTGATTTTTGAACATTCTAAAACTGATTCTAATGTTAATACTAGAAAACTCTCACCGTAACTAGTACCCTCGGGGAAATCTGTCTTTCCTGGTGGGCGTCCCACACACAGGCAGAGCAAGGGATGTACCTGTCATACCCGGCAAGATCTGTCATCGCGCGGGCAGAGCCATTGAAACTGTCATACCTGGCGGACCACTCGACCACTCAACGCCCAGGCAGAGCCAATAAAATCTGTCATACCCGGCAAGATCTATCATCGCACGGGCAGAGCCACTGAAACTGTCTTACCTGGCGGACCACTCAACGCCCAGGCAGAGCCAATAAAATCTGTCATACCCGGCAAGATCTATCATCGCATGGGCAGAGCCACTGAAACTGTCTTACCTGGCGGACCACTCAACGCCTAGGCAGAGCCAATAAAATCTGTCATACGCATGCGCAGAGCAAAAATCTGAAACTGTCATACCTGGCGGAATCCTGCATCGCTCAGGCAGAGCCAATAATCTGTATCTCTGGGGGATGGGTACTTCGTAGGGTGGTTTGAAAACCACTTTTACTCTTATATATAGTCTAACATGCTTTTCTTCATGAAAAATGCATAGTTTGCTTGAAAAATATGATATTTATGCCCAAGGGGAGAAAATATAGATTTATGAACATGCCCCAAAACTGACAAATCAACCCTTTTTCGTTTCTCATTTAGTATATTTATCAAAATCACTAAACTCTCATTTAATCATGCATCTCATGTTAATCTCAAGTAACATATATAAGTCAAGAACATACCACATATGTGCTTATAAATCATGCATATATGACATAATATTCAAAAATCACATCCAGGGGTGAAACTGAAAATTTCCAAACATGTTTTAAAACTGACAGTTTAACCCAGATTAAAAATTACTTTCAACATCACATTTCCATAGCATATGTCCATCACTAATCATAAGATATATACCACATTTCATATAAAAGTAAATCATGCCAAATCGTATGAAATTCCATGCAAAAATGGGGGTAGAATGCAAGTTTTAAAACATACTTTCAAAAACTGACAGAATGCACCCCTTCTCTTTTTCTTTTTACCAAGAAACCATCTACCAAGATCACGAACCTCAACCCGTATACAATTCAACAAGTTCTCTACTCTCAAAATTTTATTCATATAGCGTGAATACATATAAATTCTATATACCAAACTTCATCAAAACATTTAAAATAAAATCATAAGTTAACATGCAAACATGGATTTAAGCTTTTGGAAGAAGATTTGGTTTAATCCACTCACCAAATCAAGCTATAATTTCAATGGGGCATTCAAGACAAAAATATGTTGATCCAGTAATATTTTCAAGTCATTTCAGAGTCAATAACTATTTAAAACACAATTTTCTTCAAACTCATTTAAATCTGCCAACTGTTTCCAGAATTGAGGTTACTGACTTGTAAAATTCATAACAATTCAGCCCTTAATCTAAACCTCATGAAACTCTCCAGAATTAAACTAGGCACATATAGGATTCACCAGAATTTAAAATCACTCAATTTGGATAAGTATAAGTGCATTATTTCAGTTCTGAAAAATGCATGCTCTACAGAAAACATGAAATTCCAGAATTTCATAGCAGAATTCAAAATTCATTAAAAAATCCAATACTTCGAATTTTGGGGTGAAATCAATTTTCAACCAATCTCTAATAAGTCTAAAACAAAATACCTGAAATTTAGCTTCATTTGCAAACCCGAAACATATATAAAATTTTCAGAAGTTCGGACTGTCAGAATTTCACAGCATAACTTTTTATAACCAAAAACATACTTTAATAACTCTTGGTTCTTTAGGATCAACATATATGCTCTACCCATATAAAACCTATTGCATTAAATCTCCAATTTCAGTCAACAACACAATTCAGCCACCATATCCAACATACTGCTTCCCATAATTTCTGTTCTATCACAAACATTGTGAATATGCATAAAAATGCACATATGCTTGTGAAAATTAATCAATATATGAAATCCATAATTTCCATACCCTTCATTCCAACCATTACTGCCACCAATTAATTTCCAAACAAACCAGCCCTACCAAAATTAGCTGGAATTCTCAATCATCAACCAAATCAAACAGGCGGAAACACAAATTCTGCTTTCCATTCAACAACATCTGGTATAGGCATAATTATTTATACATGCATGTCCACACTTACTTCCAAATTTCATTATATATAAAATCATTCACATGCATGCCAAAGATAGTTTACAGAAGATGAATATAACCATATCAAAGCTTAAACAAATTTGAAGGTAAGGCATTTATGCACAAACATAGAAATCATTTCACTAAAAACATGATTTTATGCAAAGTTCTACTATTCCACTTACAAACATCATGCTTGTAAGGATTTTCGCAAAAGCAAATGGACGGTAGTAAAAGGAAATCAACATGCAAGGGCATAAGCTTAAGTTTTTAAGGAAAATAGTTTAGATCCACTCACAATTCTAGCAACCGAAGCTCCCTGCACTCTCCTCCACTCTTCTCTCTCACTCTACCATTTTTCAGCCGCACCCATTCCCCTCTCTTCTCCGTTTTCTTCTTTTCTTCATCTGGGCGAAAATCAGCCTCCCTTGTTTTTTTTAAAATTTTTCTTTTTCTGCTCTGCTCCCGCTTTCTCCCTCTGCTCTCGTCTCCTTCTTCATTTGGGCCAAAATCAGCCCCTTTTCTTTCTTTTTTATATCTTTAATCTTTCTAAATTTATGCTTCTGCCCCTAGGTTACAGGTAATCCTGCTAAACCCCTACCACATCAGCATTTCTTTTGAATAAACCTCCAGGTTTTGCCCCTTGTTACATGCAAACCCAGCAGCTTCCTTATCTTGCAATTTCATTCCCAATAAAACTTTTAAAAACTAACAGAAATCCCCTTCCATAAAAATAAAATCACACAGAATATTTAATATGTATTAGGATTAAAAACGGGGTTTCACAACTTTCCCCCCTTAAAGGAAATTTCGTCCTCGAAATTTACTTGCCAAACTGAAAAAAGTATGGATAATGAGTCCTCTTATAATTCTCACATTTGCGTATTACTCTTCAATTGCATGCTCATTCCATGGCACTCTAATACAAGGATAAATCTTATACTGGCCACTTAAAGTCTATGATCTAAAACCTTAATCGACCACCCTTTATACATCAAACCCTCTCTTAACTTTGAATTTCAAGCTCTCTCTCATACGTGTTGTATTATTGTCTCTATCTTCAATTACCTTCAATTTCCCTTCGATAAACTCTTTCACTAAAATCGTCTGTCATGCAATGCTTATTATCTTAGAAACTTTTCATTCAGTTCTTCTTCATCAACACTCAACATGAACATGTATTCTTTATAAGGGTTATGGGCCCACTACGCTTCTGCTGAGCCACTCTGATCGACTAATCCAAAACATAGCTCATCCATAATTAAAACTTATGCCTGAAACCCATGAATTGAGGTGATGTAATAGGTCCTTCTATCCTCTCATCTCATCTGTATGCTCATTTTTCTTTCCTTATACTTTAGGAGCTACGAATTCTATCACAGGACTCATGTGAGGTTGGCCACGTCGACTCATGCAGATGCAATTAAAATCTCTTTCTTAAAAACAACAACACTCCATGCAAATAAATTTTCCGTCTTTCCAAAAATGCAAACACCTTTATGCATGCATCATGAAAACGTCCGAGAATCTAAAACCTTTGCTCTGATACCAAGTTGACACGACCCGCCTCAACCCTCCTTACCCCATAAGCTCCGGGCGCACCTATGAGACTCGGGCGGCCGAGACGTGCCGTGTGGGAATCTAAAAACCTGTATTCTAAATACGTTTTTCATAAAAACATTCGCTTGGATTCGTTTTGAAAGCATAAACACATAAGATATATATATGTATACATTTGAAAATCTGAAAGCTAACTTGTACGTTCATAAAATCCAAAAACGGATGGTATCAGATATTCATATCTTTTATAATCAACACAGGNAACAGTCATCTATATGTAAAATCCAACCACTTCATACCTCCAGCACTGGTTATCAGTTCGTCCAGGCAATGCAGCAGCAACCTTGGACCAGCTATATCCATGTTCTTCCAATGCAGCTTCCAACATCAAATCATCTTCTTCAGTCCATTCACCTCTATTCACAGAAGGATCCAAAGAGTTGACCCATCTGCTAGCCAAATGAAAAGTTAAATTTTGTCGAATAAAAAACTGAACTGAATCTGAGACTATTTTTGGATACCTCTCTCTACACTGCACTTGAGTACGACCTGGCACAAATTGAGCTATTTTCTTCCAGTTCTTGGGCCCAAAAAGAATGGTAGCTACTGTCAGGCGTTTATCTTCATCTGGGGTCCATCTCCCAATTCTTTGCCTCGTAGGGTGAAGCGTTTTCTTCCATCTGCATATAGACCATCCAAGTTATTTGACAGGCTGATTTTAAGAGCTATAATGAAAAAACTACTAGTATATTCTTTCAGTAAAAGAATAAACCTGTTAGTTCAGATTGTTAACTGGAGAGTGTGAAGTGAGAGTGTTTTGCAATGGAAAGAGATGACTTAAGCTGAAAAATATGTGCTTAACTTCATTCATTGAACATGGGATACATTTATACAAAACAGCCCACTGTTCTTGCCTAAAACAAACTACTGCAGTGGATTAAATATGTTACATTTGAATTTAAATAAAAAACAAACACCAAAACATGTCCTAATCTCAACTAAATATGTCATACAACTGTCACTCCACTGTGCCAAAATCTGCTGCATCAACTACTGCATCCTAACCAAAACAGAACACTTGGTGCCAAAAATATTGTTTGAAACCTCAGCTGAATAATGTTGCATTTCCAGCAGGTTATCACCATCTTCATCAAAACCAAAGCATATACATGGTAGACAATTATCAGCACGGGACTGCTTAAGCGACACAAAGGCTGAATCATTACTAACGCTTAACGATGTTACTATGCTGATACATCTAAAACAATTATTTTTCCCACATTCACGCCCTAATATACAATATGTATAATAAAACCTCTATGAATTGTTATAAGTAAATGATGGATAGATTAGTAAAAAAAAAGGGTTTCACTCCTTCAGGTTTTCTGTATTGCCCAGCATATAGATGACAAATCATGTAATTAGATCATATATCATTCAAGTCATTTCCTTTGAAGAAGATTCATTGTTAATTCTTCTAATGTTAGTTCGTGCATCATTTATTACAAGGCTTCATCCGAATAATATATGAACAAAAGTTAGTCTTTGAAACAAGTAACTAACCTATTAGAACATTGAGTACCAGTCCGTCCTTCTAAAGTTGAAGCTACACATTGCCAGTTACTCTCATGGTCTCACCAAAAACTTCTACAGCCAAGCACAGTTGTTCATCCTCATCCTCAGTCCATTCCCCTTTCAGTATGGAAGCATTCAAACTTCTCTGATAACGAGCCAAACATTGAAATGGGGTCCTGTTAGTCCCTAATGAGACTGAAATATCAAACCAGTTACTGATCCCCTTTTCTTGAATGATAAGCAAAAGATTCTTATCCTCTTTGTAGGTATTTTGGCCGGAGAATTCTAAGGAAAAGAAAGAGAGAAACTGAAATAGAGAGAAGGTTCTTACTAATATTTCATTAAGCTTTGAATTTATACAAGAAGACACCCCAAAATATCCACTGTTACACCAACTTTTGCAGGGATATTTTACATATTTGAATTTAAACTTAAACATCCAACTAATACATGTACAAAACCTTTCAATTACAAGTCTTAATTACACCTAAACATATCAGCAAAATATACCAAATTCAGCAGCTCAAACACGTCAGGTTGCACTGCAGAAACAGAGAACATTTGGCGCCAAAACTTTTCAAACTCCTAACTGAAATTTTGTTGCATTTCCAGCAAAATATCACTGCATCAACACTCTTCGACAGTCCTTGGATTGTGATTAATAAGGGCATCTTCAAAATTCAACCACCTGCAGGAGTCAACCATAAAAATAAGACAGATGCAACTAAATTGGAAAGCTTGAAAAAACTTCATATAAAATATTAATGGTAAGGTAATACTTACTGTGCTTCAAATTCTCCACCAGAACAACCCTCAACATACATGGAAGCTAACTGATTCCAGTCAACTTTAGAAAGAAATTCCCTAATCATTTCTGGGGTGACATCAAGATCTTTTATTGATGCAAAAATGTTATCCAAACCATTTGCATCTGTAGAAAATCCCTCTGAACCACTGCCAATTTAAAGCAGGCCCAGAAAATTATGCGTAAGAAGTAATGCAATCAAAACACAGGTAACAAAAATGATATGTACAGCAAAGTTTAAAAGCAAAATAGATTCGAACTTTAAGTTGTAGCGTCAAAGGAGAAATTCTATAATAAATATTGTTTTCACCTAGAAGCTTAAAGATGCAGGACAACCAAGACCCTCGAAGGTTTAATGTTACATCTTTAGACTTAATTTTTTTTCCTAATTTGTTTTATTTCCTTCCTAGTCTAAATAAGACTGAAGACTTCCTCATATTGGGTTGAAATACGAATTGATAATAAAGATGGCTTTCTCCCCAATTTCTATGTTTCTTTTCTAATTCCTCTTGTTTCCCATTTCTCATTATATCTCTCCCCTTTCTTTCTGATCTGTACCATCCCTTCTGATCACTATCATAAGAAGGGTTAGACTATCATGAGAATACCAAGAGAAGAAACAGAGATATTGGGGAGATAATAAAAATCTTTATTATCGATTCATATTTCAGGAAAGACTACAATTGTTGGTTTCAAGCTAGAGTATTCTAAGGAAAACGACAAGGAAAACAAAATACGTAATTGGCCTCCATGTCATTAAGCAACAAAGGCAAATAATATACAAAGTTTACATCACTGTTGTACCTACTTTGCAACAGGTTTTAAAATAAAAAATCATCAGCCATACTTTGCTAACAACTACTAACACATCACATTATATAAACACCTAATCAACAGCAGATTTATAGCTGAATTTACCTAAGTTGTACATTATATTAAGAGTAATGCTAGTCTTACTCACTTCTCTTATTCACCTTTTTTAAAATGTTAACCTTATCCACTTTTTCACTTTTTAACATTTTAACAAAGGTGCGTAAGAGAAGTGAGTAGGGGGAGTGAGTAAGGCTAGCATTATCCTTATATTAATCAAAGAAATTCAGCTCCACTAAATTACAGTAAAACCAAAAATAGCAGTTGTTGAACTTCAAACTTTTGCTGCCAAACTCCAAAACGTGATCAACTTCATGAGTTTCTAGCATAATATCATCTTGATCAACACTCCTTGATATTTATGCTGGAAACTCCAAGTTTGAGTTTGAATTCTTCAAACTTGGACTTGTTCAATCCCTTGGTCATAATATCAGCAACTTGGTTCTCTCCCAAGTAATGAACCAACTTGATTTCCCTATTTTGCTCAACCTCTCTCACAGCATGGAATTTAATCTTGACGTGCTTAGTTCAACTATAGAGAATAGGATTCTTAGCTATTGCAACAGCAAACATGTTATCATAATAGATAGTAGTAGGCTCACCTTGGTTCAGCCTCAAGTCCCCCAAAATCTTTTTCAACTAGATTGCCTAGTTAGTAGCAGCAGCAGTAGAAATGTATTCTGCCTCAGCAATAGATTGGGCTATTGTCTCTTGCTTTTTGGAAAGCCAACTAAAAGCACCATGATTGACAAAGAAAACATACCTAGTAGTGCTTCTCATGTAGTCAACTGAGCCTACCCAATCACTGTCTGAATAGCCAACTAAACTGAATTTTTCAGATCTCCTGAACCAGATTCCCAACTCAGCAGTGCCCTTAATGTACCTTAGCACTCTCTTTACAACCTTGAAATGCACCTCACTTGGCTTGCTCATAAATCTGGATAGGAGGCTGGTTGTATACATCAGATCAGGCCTGGTTGTTGTCAACTACAACAAGCAACCTATCAAGCTTCTATGGATACCTTCATCCACCTTTTCTGCACCATCTTCCTTGCTCAACCTTTGGCTAGGAATCAGAGAGATATCAACTGGTTTACAATTATTCATATTGAACTTCATTAGCATACTTCTTTTGACACAAATATACCATTTAAGCCTTGGTATATTTCCATGCCAAGAAAGTAGCTCATTTCTCCCAAATCAGTCATATCAAATTCCATCTCCATTGCCCTTTTAAATTCTCCCAACTGATTGAGCTTGCTTCCAGTGACCAAGAGGTCATCAACATAGAGAGAAACTATTATCACTTCACCATTTTGTTCCCTTACATAAAGGGTGTGCTCATTTGGGCTTCTAACATATCCTAGCTTGCACAAATGGTCATTGATTCTATTGTACCAGGCTTTAGGGGCCTGTTTGAGGTCATACAGGGCCTTCTTGAGCAAATAAATCTTCTCCTCCTTTCCCTTGACTTCATACCCCTCCGATTGCTGAATGTAGATTTCCTAATCAAGCCATCCATTGAGGAATGCAGACTTCACATCAAGTTGGAAGATTTTCCACTTAAATTGAGCCGCTAATGCAAGGAGAAGCCGAATGATGTCATGTCTTGCCACAGGTGCAAAAGTTTTTGAAAAATCAACCCCAAATTGCTGCGCAAAGCCTTTGACAACAAGTCTGGCTTTGAGTTTATTCACTTATCCATCATAATTTAGCTTCCTTTTAATTATCCATTTGACTTGTATCACTCTCCTGCCAGGTGGCCTATCAACCAGCTCCCAAGTCTGATTTTTCTCCATCATACTTATCTCCTATTGCATTGCAGCCTTCCAGGCCTCAGATTTTGTAGCTTCAACATAACTTGTAGGCTCCAATTCAACTACATTGCTCTTTTCATATATGTCATGCAGAGACCTGGTACCCCTGACAAGTATTTCATCCACTTCTTTTAGGTCCAATTCTTCGTTTTGGTTATTTGGATCTTTGTCATGATGGATGCTTGGCCTTCTCTCAACTTCCCTTCTTTCCCAATTCCATGTAGCTCGTTCATCTACTTTGATATCCCTACTAATCACAATCCTTTTAGTGCTTGGATTGTAGATGCTGTGGGCCTTAGATTGACTATTATACCTAATCATAATACTACTTTAGCCTTCTCATCCAATTTGCTTCTTTTGTTCGCTGGAACAAGAATATAGTACACACTTCCAAACACCTTCAAGTGGTCCACATTTGTCTTGACACCATACCAGGCTTCAAAAGGAGTCTTGTTGTCTAAAGCTTTGGTTGGTAATCGATTAAGGAGATAGATCCTAGTGTTGACTGCTTCTACCCAGAAAATTTTTGGTAGATGTGTCTCAATCATCATGCATTTTACCATCTCCATCACTGTCCTATTCTTCCTTTCACTCACTCCATTTTTTTTTGTAGAGTGTATGGATTGCTGAACTGATGCCTTATTCCAGCCCCTTTGCATGTTTCTTCAAACTCATTGGAAGTATACTCTGTACCATTAGCACTTCTCAATGATTTGAGTGTCAAACCTATTTGGTTTTCAACCAACAAGTTGAACCTTTTGAACACAGTAGCTAGCTCACTTTTTTGGTTCAAAAAATACACCCATGTCATCCTAGAAAAGTCATTTATGAATAGGGTAAAGTACCTATTTCCACTTAGGGAAGTTTGCTACATTGGACCACACACATTTATGTGTACAAGCTGGAGTCTCTCACTTGCTCTCATTCTTTATTTACAGGGAATGGTGGCCTGCTATGCTTACGAATTTGACAAGTTTTGCACAACCCTTCACCTTGGTCAATTTCAGGTAAGTTATAGACAAGGTTTTTGTGTTTGAGTTCCTTGAGGGCATGATAATGGAAATGTCCAAACCTCCTATGCCATAACTTTGAATCATCTATCCTAGCTGAGTGGTTTTGAAAGACAAGTTTTCCCTATTCTATAAGGAAGCTTTTTCCCTGCATCTTAACCTTCACAACTCAGTCCTATCACCCTCTAAGATAACACAACTAGAGTCCTTGAAATGCAGAGGATAATTTTTCTCTAGCATTTGTCCTACACTAAGTAGGCTTAAACTAATTTTAGGCACAAACAAAACATTTGCTATATGTTTAATACCTGTCTTAGTTTGAACAGCTATGTCACCCTTACTTTCACCTCCAACAACTCACCATTTCCCACCTTCACTTTGGATTGATAGTCCTAATCCAGGTTCACAAAATTGTCGGCATTTGGTGTCATATGGTTGGTGCAGCCACTGTCAATCAGCCACACATCAGGGCTGCTTGCAACCATGCATTCTGAGACCACAAACAACTACTCAGTACTCTCTTGCGTCTGTTGGGAATTTTCCACTGCTTGAGCTTGCGGATCCTGCTGGTTCCCTATGTTCTTGCACACTTTTTCAATGTGCCCAAATTGCTTGCAAGACCTACATTGTATGGCAGGCTTGAACCAACGTCTATTTTCAAAGTGGTTCTTTTTCTTGCAATGAGGACAAGGAGAAAAGGTTTTTGTTCCGCATTCTTTCCTCCTTGGTTGTTAACTTCCTCCTTTCCCTTCTTCTCTCCAACATACCTCTTGTTTTCACCTTGAAATCCCCTCCTTTTTTGGCTTGCTAACATAGCTCCCTCACTTGAATCTTCCTGCCTCAACAACCTCCTCTGTTCTTATGCTTGAAGAGAATGCACAAGTTCTGCTAAGCTGATCTGGGATAGGTCTTTGGAGTCTTGATCTTTTCCTTAAATCTCTCGGGTAGGCTAACTAGAACCTTCTCCACAATTCTCTAATCAGTCAACTCCTCACCAAGTAGATTAATCTTATTCACCACATTCATTAGTCTATCCACATACTCCTTGACATTTTCAGTTTCTTGCATTTTGAGCGTTCAAACTCTCTTCTTAGGTTTAAGACCTGCATGTTTCTGGTTTGACTACTTCCCCCAAACTCCTCCTTGAGCTTATCCCAAGCTTCTTTAGGAGTATCACATGCCATAATCTTGGAGAAAACCTGGTCGATTACTACTGAATGGATGCAAGACAGTGCTCTTGGAGCCTTTGCTAACTCTTATTCATGAATCCTTATCTGATTCAGTGCTAGGTTTGCTCCAAGCTAAGGGATTTGTCTCTCTTTCTCCACATATTGCCATAAGGCATGACCTCTCAAATAAGTCTTCATTTTGACAGCCCAAACATGGAACTGCTCACCATTGAAGATGGGTGGAGAAAGAGGAGCTGGGTTTGTTGCCATTAAGAAAACCTTTAAAGGAGTTGAGCTGAGTTATAGAATTGTGTTTTGGCCCTGAGAATCATGGTGGCTTTGATACCAAATGTTGGTTTCAAGCTGGAGTATTCTAAGGAAAACTACAGAGAATTCAGCAAAGAAAACAAAATAGTAATTGATCTCTATGTCATTAAGCAACCAAGGCAAATAATATACAAAGTTTACATCACTGTTGTACCTACTCTGCAGCAAGTTTTACAATAAAAAATCATCAACCATACTTTGCTAACAACTACTAACACATCAGATTACGTAAACACCTAATCAACATCAGATTTACAACTGAATTTACCTAAGTTGTACATTATATTAATCAAAGAAATTAAGCTCCACTAAATTACAGTAAAACCAAAAATAGCAGCAGTTGAACTTCAAACTTTTGCCGCCAAACTTGTAGCTCCAAACTCCAAAATGTGATCAACTTCATGAGTTTCCAGCATAATATCATCTTGATCAACAACAATGATAATATTTAGCCATCAATTAAGTCAAATCCTAAATAGAAGATGGACACAAATAATTAGTAAATAAAGCAATCTATAGGATAACAAGTTGCATATCTAAGTTGTTAGATGAGTAAGCCATCACCCATACTTATTTACATGAGTTCAAAGGATATATAATGCTGAAAGCATTTGTTTGGGCATACCTTAGTCTATCCATTGACACTTGTAGCACATTTCTTGAAATTGCTGCCTTATTCCCTTTCCAAGATTTTCCTTTTCTGTCTTTGACCATTTTTCCGATGCAATGAAAGTGGATATTTTGACAAGGCCTTTCTGTGGTTAGAAACATGATAATTTTCCGATGGGCCATACTGGATAGCAGAGGACTTTTTATCAATAACCTGCAGCAATTGAGTTTATCATCAGTGAAATTTAAGCCGCTAAATGTCAAACCCAAAAAAAAAAAAAAAAAAAAAAATGATTAGCTAGACATCTAATCTGAACACCTTGGTAAGCCTGAAACAAGTTCTAAAAGCCACATAAATCCTACAAATAAGTTAGGGTTATATGATGCAATCAATATTTGATATACAACCTTACTTTCAAAATAATATAAAATTTGCATTGCTGACTTAATCATCAACTAATTGGTATGGGCTTAATAAACTATAAATAAATGGGACAAAGGGAATTGAGGTCATTTTATCACCTTCAATCAATTATTCCTTCAGAGGAGTTGCCAAATTCAAAACAAATACAACCGTGTTTGGATTGTGATTAATAGGTGCGACAACCTTACACATTTGCCATACATTAAACAAATTATTCAATATTATTAAAACACAATAGTTTATTATCTTCTTTGCTGTATTCACAACATTTCTCAATTTTCACTTCAGCTCTTCAAAATGTTTTGTTGTTTTTCAATCATTAGAAGTATCTTATCAAATATTGGAGGAAATTATGACAAAATATAAGGCCCGTTCAGTTGGTTGAAGGACGAGGACAACCATGTGAATAACTCGATAGTTTATATTAAGAAGATAGCTATTATAAATTTTGTGCAATGCATGAAAAGAAGAGATTGGACACATTCTAGTTGTTTTGCTTTTTACTTTTTTTGATGCCTCTTTTCTTCTATCAAGAAATACATATACATTTTTCACTCAACAACAAAACATCTTTAAATGTAAGGCCGTGCTCTCGTAGAGAAAATTACATTCTAATTCTTCATCTTTTGACATACGAATATCTTATATCTTCAAATAAACAAGGGGTGATACTTTTCCTGCTTTACTTATTTTCCCTTCTTGTCTAAAGAAGTTTTGGGTTCTTGGATACTTTTCGTGCCTTACTCATCTCCTTTTCTTGTTAGACAAGTTTTTTGGATTCTTTTCGTGCTTTACTCATTTCCTCTTCTTGTTAAACAAGTTTTTTTGATTCTTTTTGTGCTTTACTCATTTCCTCTCCTTGTTAGAGATGAAGCTGATTTCACACCTATCTACACAATCATCTTCAAACTAGCTTATTCTCACTCTCTTCGTTTCTTCTGAGAGAAAATGGCAGAATCAACTCTATTTTCCATTGCAACTAAAGTTCTGACGACGATAGGCTCTCTTGTGAATCAGCAAGCATCCTTGTTGTGGAAACTTGAAAGTGATTTAAAAAGCCTTGAGGGAACCCTGAGCTCTATCAAAGCCGTGATCTCGGATGCTGAGAAAAAGCAGGCACAAAATGATCAGCTGCGTGACTGGCTTAGGAAGCTTAAAGATGTTCTCCTTGATGCTGAGGACGTTTTAGAAGAATTTGAGTTTCAAGCTCCCAGGGGAGAAGTGGTGAGACAAAATAGGAGCACAATAAGAAAGGTACGTCAATTCTTTTCAAGCTTTTATCCTTTTGCTCTTCGATATCAAATTAGTCATGAAATCAAGGAGATTAGAGAAAGGCTAGATCAGATCGAAAGTGATAGGATAAAATTTTCTCTTACTGAGAGTACTCCTACTGAAGTTAGGCATGAAATTCCAAAGGAGAGAGAGACTGATCCCTTCTTGGGAGCTTCTTGTGTTATTGGAAGAGAGAATGATAAAGAAAAGATCATGAGCTTTTTAATGCAACAAGCCAACAATGTCTCTGTCATTCCAATAGTTGGAATTGGGGGTTTGGGTAAAACCATTCTTACTAAAATGGTTTACAATGATGAAATGGTAGATAGGTTCTTTCCATTAAAGATGTGGGTTTGCGTGTCAGATGACTTTGATGACACCAGATTGATGAAAGAAATTATTAAATCTGCAACGCGTGGGGATTGTAATCAGTTAAAAGCAGATGAAATTCTTGAGCGTTTGCAGGAAATTTTGACAAGTAAAAAGTTTTTGCTTGTCTTGGATGATGTTTGGAATGAGAAGCCTCAGAAATGGTTGAAATTGAAAGACATACTGATGAGTGGTGTCAATGGAAGCAAAATTATTGTGAGCACACGAAGTAAAAGAGTTGCAGAAATAATGAGCACTGTTCCCTCACATTTTCTGCAAGGTCTTTCCAATGAGGAATCCTTGTCATTATTTAAGAAGTGTGCGTTCAAAGATGGAGAAGGGAAAGATTTTCCAAAGCTCATTGAAATTGGAAAGGAAATTGTGAGAAAATGTAAAGGAGTTCCGTTGGCTGTGAGATCTTTAGGGAGCTTACTTTATGCAAACGAGGATGCACGTGAGTGGTTGAAAATAAAAAACAATGACATCTGGCAACTAGATCAAGATAGTGAAGACATCTTACCAGTATTGAAATTGAGCTATGATCATTTGCCATCTCATTTGAAGCAATGTTTTACTTATCTTTGCTTGTTTCCGAAGGATTATCGTTATCAAAATTTTTATGTGGCTCCATATTGGATGGCGCTTGGACTTCTTGAAACCTCTAACGAAAATGAAGAGCTAGAAGATGTTGCTGATCAATATATGAAAGTCTTATGGTCAAGAGGTTTCTTAGAGGGTTTGGATGATGATTATTGTTGGTCATTTAAAGTGCATGATCTTATGCATGATCTTGCAATATCAATGATACAAGGTGAGTCGGCATTCATAAATTTTGGAAGCATAAAAGTTGATGGGAAATTTCGGCATTTTTCACATGGTGACACAGAGTTATGTGGTGAAGAATTTCTAAAGCTCATGGTTGATAACTCAAGGAGTGTTCGAAGCATTGTCTTTCCAGCAGCAGAGAGATACGGAGGTGCGCGTATTATTGGATCATTTATTAGTAAAGATATATCCAAATTCAATTACCTCCGACTACTACTCTTGTATGGTATACTTTTTGAAGTGTTGCCAAATTCTATCGGTACATTGAGACATTTAAGGTACCTTGACCTAGCTCAGAATTCTTCATTGAAGAAGATCCCTAGATCTATTTGCGAGCTTCAAAACTTGCTAATGTTAAGACTTCGTGGCTGTTATCAGCTTAAGAAGTTGCCTAATAACATACGAAAGATGATCTCCCTTAGATTCTTGGAAATAACCACACAAGAGGAAGTTCTTCCAGAAAATGGAATTGGATGTTTGAGTTTCCTTCAATATTTGTACTTATTTGGATGCTCCAATCTAGTACGTTTGTGTGAAGGGATGCAAGGTCTAAAAAGCCTCCGAACGTTGCATATACAAGGCACTTCTGTGATCTCATTACCATATGCTCTCAAATACCTGACAAAATTAGAGATGTTAGTGATTTCGTATTGCTGCAACCTTAATTTGAAGATGGAATTGCAAGCAAACGATCTTGAGCTGAGGTTGAGTCTTAAAAAATTCATAGTTTATCGTTTACATTCACTGGTGGATTTGCCCCAGCTTCTTCTTCAAGCATCTGCTAACACTCTGGAGTACATGCGGATTGATGAGTGTGACAACTTAGAAGCACTACCGGAGTGGTTCCAAAATCTCAAATCACTTGAAAAACTTCAGATTTTAAGTTGCTCGAGAATATCATCTCTTCCAGAAGGGATAAAACGCCTTACTTCCCTCAAGGAATTGCACATTGCACGCTGTCCTTCTCTGACTGAAAGCTGCAGAAATGATATGTCGAAGATTGCTCATGTTCAAGATGTTCGTCTTATTTAAATAAAGCCAGTTTTCTGCAATCACATTTATGGTGGTACCAGCTTCTCTTGTTAATGCTTGTTTGTTTTTATGGGTGGTGTGTTGCTCATTTCTTTTCTTTTTTCATCAACATTAGTCCCAACTTTCCTGTTTCAATTTGGTTGTATTTTATTATTTCTTATGCTTGGATAATGTTGTATTTTTTATATTAAATGTGTATTTGTGTGGCTTTTATTAATAAATTTCCCTCATACTTTCGAGCTTTTTTTTTTTAATAATAAATTTCTATTCACTTTTCTATTCTCATTTTGTTTGTAATTATAATTAAAACAGGAAATGAAAGTTATTTTAAGAAGCTTTCTAGAGTTAATTCACTTCCAAATTCTCTCGTGTTTCAAAATCATCCATTTATTTATTTCTGTCAACAAAATTGCAGCCTTCCAGCTATATCTCTATTTTTTTCCCTCAATTGATTCTCTCTTTTTTTTTTTTGCTATAATTTTTTATTTTCTTCTCACTGCAATAAACTTGCAAGAATAATAGCACTACCTATAAAACTCACAACAAGATTAAATGGCATCTACAATGAAATTGGGGCTCGGATCTAAATCACCTGTACATGTTATTTGGAAGGCGTGTGACTCCAATTTCTGCTTTTATCAAACAATGGTCGTCTCTTCTTTACTTCTATTAAGCAAAGCTAGAATAATTTCACCAGCTTCATCATCACCTTCCAAATTAATGCTCATCAGTTTCGTCACTGGTCCTTCGGAGAGTTCCACTGTTGGTTTAGGTCTCAGCTTTACCATTTTGCATGTATGCTGGCATTTGATCTTCATTGCTGTATTTATCTACCGATTTGGAAACCAACATTGACTCACAGAAAGAACCAGCTTCAGCAGATTTAAGCCTTCTCTTACTTCAACTCATTACGAAGAAAGCAAGCAAGTGTTACGTCCTCTCCATCTGATGCTTCTAAAAGGTGTCCAGAATAAGATCTACTTGAAGCTTCTGATTTTTTACATCCATCTTGCTGACAAGAAGTACTTGCAACATCCTAGCGTTCCCCTGATGGCTCATTACTTCTTTTCCTTTTGTTATTTTGCATTACAGCCTCACGAATACTCTCCAAAGACATCTTTTCGCCTCCATTCCTCTCCTTGCCCAATTTCATGCATAATTTCTTTTTTGGTGGCAGTTTAAGAGGCCTCTTCTTCATGGAAGCATCAATCCCACCCGGTACATCACCCTCTACATTGTTGATTATTGTTGACAAAGTTGAATCCAAATAATCTGAGTGATTACGAATCAATTCAATATCATCAATAGTTCCCGACAAAATGCCCACCTCAGAACAGCAGGATGCATCCTGCTCTTCACAAGATATAGAGCATAAATTACTCGCAGAATTCCAATTAGGATCTCTCCTGTTGCTATTTGACACATCATTGTTGCCACAAGGAGTCATGCTACTGTCACCATAAGTTGTCTCCGGTACCAAACTTTCAGGGGTGGAAAAAAAATACTCATCTCACCCACTTCTGCATAAGATGGCATCTTTGAACGTCTTTTAAAAACCGTCTTTCCGGTATTGGGCTCACTATTCACTTTTTTCTTTCCTGAACGAGGCTTCACAATTTTCTTCTTCGGAATGACATCATGCTGATTAGAGGTTTTAGTCTCATCACCATAAGTTATCTCCAATACTTTCTCAGAACAAGCTTGTGTCTTGTTTCTAGGTCTGTGGGATTTACTTGTTTTCTGACTATCGCTGCATTACATTAAAGAAATTAAAATCAGAAGCATGATCAAAGTACGAAACAGCTGACACTTGAAAAATACAACCTTAAATTCTCTAAGAAGTACCCAAAACCGAAAATTTCTCAAGTTCTAGAAAAATTCATATTTTTGAAAAGTTCACGCATGATCAAACCATGTCAATGCTGATGGCATAAAATCATTTGGACCAAGGGCAGGGCGCTCCCGCTCCTGATCTACAAAGTTGCTTATGAAAGCAGCGTTTTGCATCTTTTTATGTGCTAGCTTGAAGCACGGGTACTTCATCTGGATGCAGATACTTCCATCTCCTATTTATAAGGGCAAAAAATAGGTGCAATCAACATGAATTTCAAACATGAAGACAAAGAAAATGATGTAAAGAAAAAAGATAAGATATCAGAATCAACTCCTNTCCTAAGAAGAGTTGGACTATTATGAGAATACCAAGAGAAGCAACAGAGATATTGGGGAGATAATAAAAATCTTTATTATCGATTCATATTTCAGGAAAGACTACAATTGTTGGTTTCAAGCTAGAGTATTCTAAGGAAAACGACAAAGAAAACAAAATACGTAATTGGCCTCTATGTCATTAAGCAACAAAGGCAAATAATATACAAAGTTTACATCACTGTTGTACCTACTTTGCAACAGGTTTTAAAATAAAAAATCATCAGCCATACTTTGCTAACAACTACTAACACATCACATAACATAAACACCTAATCAACAGCAGATTTATAGCTGAATTTACCTAAGTTGTACATTATATTAAGAGTAATGCTAGTCTTACTCACTCCGCTTACTCACTTCTCTTACTCACTTTTCTTTCTCACCTTTTTTAAAATATTAACCTTATCCACTTTTTCACTTTTTTAACAAAGGTGAGTAAGAGAAGTGAGTAGGGGGAATGAGTAAGGCTAGCATTATCCTTATATTAATCAAAGAAATTCAGCTCCACTAAATTACAGTAAAACCAAAAATAGCAGCGATTGAACTTCAAACTTTTGTTGCCAAACTTGCAGCTCCAAACTCCAAAATGTGATCAACTTCATGAGTTTCCAGTGGTACTTCATCTGGATGCAGATACTTCCATCTCCTATTTATAAGGGCAAAAAATAGGTGCAATCAACATGAATTTCAAGCATGAAGACAAAAAAAATGATGTAAAGAAAAAAGATAAGATATCAGAATCAACTCCTGTCCTTAACAGTCATCTATATGTAAAATCCAAAACTTCATAACTCCAGCACTGGGTTATCAGTCCGTGCAGGCAATGCAGCAGCAACCTTAGAGCAGCTAAATCCATGTTCATCCAACACATCTTCCAACATCAAATCCTCTTCTTCAGTCGATTCAGCTCTATTCAAAGAAGGATCCAAAGAAATGACCCATCTGCTATCCAAATGAAAAGTTAAATTTTGTCGAATAAGAAACTGAACCGAATCTGAGACTATTTCTGGATACCACTCTCTACACTGCATTTGAGTACGACCTGCCACAAATTGAGCCATTTTCTTCCAGTTTTTGGGCCCAAAATATCTTCATCTGGTGTCCATCTCCCAACTCTTTGCCTCATGGGGAGAAGCGTTTTCTTCCATCTTCATATAAAGCATCCAAGTCATTTGAAAGAGGCTGATTTTAAGAGCTATTATGAAAAAACTACTAGAATATTCTTTCTATAAAAGAACAAACGAAAGCATATACATGGGACTGCTTAAGTGACACAAAGGCTGAATCATTACTAACACAAAACATACAGACAAGATGATACTATGCTGATACATCTAAGAAAATTATTTTTCCCACATTCATGCCATAATGTACAATAGTATAGTGAAACCTCTATGAATTGTTATAAGTAAACAATGGATAGATTAGTCAAAAAAAGATTTCAGTCCTTGAGGTTTTCTGTACTGCCCAGCATATAGATGACCAATCATGTAATTAGATCATATATCATTCGAATCATTTCCTTTGAAGAAGATTCACTATTAATTCTTCTACTGTTAGTTCGTGCATCATTTATTAGAAGGCTTCACCCGAATAATTTATGAACAAAAGTTAGTCTTTGAAACAGGTAACTAACCTATTAGAACATTAAGTACCAGTCTGTCCTATTAAGTTGAAGCTATGGACTGCCAGTTACTCTCACCAAAAGCTTTTCCAGCCAAGTGCAGTATGGAAGCATTCAAACTCCTTTGATAACGAGCCAAACATTGAAATGGGGTCCTGTTAGTCCCTAATGAGACTGAAATATCAAACCAGTTACTGATCCCCTTTTCTTGAATGATAAGCAAAAGGTTCTTATCCTCTTCGACAGCCCATGGATTGTGATTAATAAGGGGATCTTCAAAATTCAACCACCTGCAGAAGTCTGCCATACAAATAAGACAGATGCAACTAAATAGGAAAGCTTGATATATGAATTGATAATAAGACAAATAACTGGAACCTATTTTAGATGTCCAAGCTATACTTATTGAAAGTATTTGAAACAGATGTCATGTAGTATAACTGAAAAGACAAACTTAGAATGTCAACTAGATAGAAAATGAAAAATTTACCTCTGAGTCATTAGAATTCCTTAACTTTTGCGATAAAATCATTTGGGCACGAGGATCCTTCTTCTGAGATAATGGTCGACCAGTTATTTTTCTGTAAGAAACCTGAAAGTCTTTCAGAATTTTTACACGTTCTTTCAATTTCTTGTTCTCCTCTATTCTTGATTCAATCTGAGTCAACTTACTTCGGATAAAATTCTGATAGGACCTATTCTTCTTAATGGCATCAATAAACACCTGAGCAGATTTTGGGAAGTTAGAATCCTTTTGTGACACAATAGACATATTATATTCTTCAGACTGTTGCCACTGAATGGAACAAGAAGGCAGTGTCTCCACATTGTCCTTCAATAAATGGTGGTTGTTACAAGCTTCTTCAGAATCTGGACACCATTCACAAGCATTAATTCTATTTACAAATAAATTATTGGAAGTCTCGTTCTCTGATGCTACACTAGATGCAAGAACCTGATTTGGAGTCTGTAAAGAATCCCTCCTCCTGCTTTTTGTAGTATCTACATTAAAATTTTCAACAACTGGTGCAAGGGTAAAGGAATTTGAGGAGTTTAAAAGTGGTCATATATACTGTTATAAATTCCCAAGTGCAAATACACACAAAAAAACAAACATACAAGGAGGGAGAGAGTATCTCTTATTGAGAAAACAAATCATAAGAAACTTGAACTTCAGCTAACCATGAAAACTACAATACACAAACAAAAGTGAAGGAATAAGCAAGGAACATAATCTAGTTTTATGGCCTCGATTAGAAATAAGGCTATATACAAGGCTGATAAGCTGATAATTTTGGCATAGATATTTTAGAGGCTTTCTCAGTGTGGTCTTTACTTCGTTTCGCTCAGTCACATTTCCAAACTTTGTGACTAATAATTAGCTTCATAAAATTCTACTTGGCAGTCTTATTCCTGTTGTAATTATAAAAAGAATAATACCACACATACAAACTCTTGTATACAAATTAATGTGGCACACTGGGAATGAAGAAGTAAGCTCAACAAATATGGATAAACTCATAAAAGAGTAATGCCTTGTATATGTGGCATTACTCTTCAAGAAGCCAGTAGCTTAAATAAAGTGCATGCGAGAAAGATAAAATAAAGATAACCTCAATTTTTTACTTGAATGTCTAATTACTTCTTCTTTATTTACCTTTCCTTTATTCGTTCACTCCTATAATCAGCCAAGAGAAAACATGAAAAAACTATTACCAATTCAACTAATGCACAAAATAAAAAAATAAAAAAATACGCCTACTAAAACATATATTTAAGAACATTCTAAGCTTACCAGCTGAATAATAAGCTGAAAAGCGCCGCTGAATAACTTGAAGAGTCCCGAAATCATCCTCTTCATCATCGTCCAAAAGAACCGGTGGAAGCGTACACAAAGCCTTCAAAGACAAAGGTTGGCACGAATCATCCATAACGCCAACCGGTTCTGAATTTTCCGGACCGATTCAAGATCCTCTTCGCCATCGGAACTCCAGAAACCAATATCGACGGCGCCGAATGAATCAGCTCCGACAGACAGCTGAAGTTTGTCGGTGTTATCGAGGTCGGGTCGGCTAAAATATACCGGTTACTTATTCGGGCGTTCTGTTGGGCTCGATCCTGGGCATGCTAATTCTACATTTGATATCAGGCCCATAAACTAAGGGCTTGTTTTTTATTGTGCTTTAAGTTTTAATATTTGAAAATTTCTAGACAGCCCGAATGTTTGAGAAAATGAACTCCTCAGTCCTCATCCATTAGTATTACTTTTCCTCTTCTTTCTTATCACTTTTTCTTCCACTTAACAAGATAATCAATTAAATAACAAAGTAACAACCCAACCAGTGACTGCACAAGGTGTGAACAAAAGACCAAAATTGAGACTACAATGAAGAGTTCATCAAAGTGGCAAGCTTTCGGTGCCAATTAATAAAGTTATTAATAAATAAACCTAATAAGGTTTAGCTCACTTGACTCAAATCAAGTTTAATATTAGACAGATACAGCTGGAGGAGTAAGTCACAAGTGCCGATGGTCGATGGTGCGATTCTCACATGGATTGAGTTTCAAAAATTAATATTTAAGTCGCTAGTGGCAGTTAATAAAATTTTATATGTTCAAGAGTCCCAAGCATCACGTAAATTTGAGATTCTCATACCTACTCAAGCACTAGAACAAATTTTTTATTCCTTGATGCTGACTTTTTGATGTTTTATGTTAGCGGTATCGCTAGATTTGAGATTCTCATACCAACTCCAGCACTGGAACGAATTTTTTATTCCTTGGATACTGACTTTTTGAGGTTTTATATTAGCAGTATAGCTAGAGTAGGTGCATACTTGTAGATGCAAAAAATCTACCGTCATGAAAATAGGGTGTGATCCCGTGAGGTTGAGGTCACTGACAATCCGTTAGACCTGCACACATGAAAGGGTAAGTGTGAAGCTTCCGGAAAACACCGAGGTGGTGTTTGCCGTAGGCACTCTGACGCTTAAGTCAGCAAGGCTGAAAGAGATTTAATAAGAATTAAGGAGAAGAAGAATTACCAGGAGTCTTGTCGGAGGCTAGGACTACGGCGGAGGTGTCGGGTTCTTGGGAGCAAAAACTTAGGAGCAAATAGATGGTTTTGAGTGGTGTAGATTGACTGTGAGAGATTGCATGCTTAATGAGAGGGCGAGCCTCTGTTTTTATAATGAACCCAAGGGGTTGGAATCCTAGTAGGACATTGAGTCCTCTTTTGAGAGATAATCCCTATCATAAAAGAGATATGATTTCTTAACCTTATCAGATTAAGTTTAATAGTTTAAATAAGAGTTGGAATCTTAGTAGGACACTAAGTCCTATTTTGGGAGATACTCTCTATCATGAAAGAGATATGATTTCTTGACCTTATCAGATCAAGTTTAATAGTTTAAATAAGAGTTGGAATCTTAGTAGGACACTAAGTCCTATTTTCGGAGATAATCCCTATCATGAAAGAGATATGATTTCTTGACCTTATCAGATCAAGTTTAATAGTTTGAGTGAGATTTGAAATCTTAGTAGAAGAGGAAATAGAATGAGATTCTGATTTCCTATTTATACTCTGTTGCAGGCTAATGGGTTGAAATCCAGTTTAGCTTAACTTATAGGATAGCCCAACTCATAGAGTGGGTAAGTCGCAAGGTGATTTTAAGCGTAGGCCCAATCGAGATTGGGTTGAGGCCTGGGGCCGTGACATGTTTATTTCGTTATTGGGCCTCGTCAAGCCCAAGACGATTTTTGGCCCTAACAATACTAAGCATCCATTAATTCTCAGCTAATTCAGTTATCTTCAACTAGCTTACTCTCTCTCTCTCTCTCTCTCTCTCTCTCTCTCTCTCTCTTCGTTTCTTCTGACAGAAAATGGCAGAATCAATTCTATTTGACATTGCAACTAAAGTTCTGGAGAAGATAGGCTCTCTTGCGGGTCGGCGAGTGTTCTTGTTGTGGAATCTTGAAAGTGATTTAAAAAGCCTTGCGGGAACCCTGAGCACTATCCAAGCCGTGCTCTTGGATGCTGAGAAAAAGCAGGCACAAGATCATCAGCTGCGTTACTGGCTTGGGAAGCTTAAGGATGTTTTCCACGACGCTGAAGACGTTTTAGAAGAATTTGAGTATGAAGTGATGAGACAAAAGAGGAGCACATTAGGAAAGGTATGTCAATGCTTTTCAAGCTCTAATCCTGTTGTTTTTCGATCTGAAATTAGTCATAAAATTAAGGAGATTAAGGAAAGGCTAGATCAGATCGTTGGTGATAGGAGTAGATTTTCTCTTATTGAGAGTACTCCTGCTGAAGTTAGGCATGTAATTCCAAAGGAGAGGGAGACTAATCCCTTCTTGGGAGCTTCTTATGTTGTTGGAAGAGAGGATGATAAAGAAAAGATCATAAGCTTTGTAATGCAACAAACCGACAATGATGTCTCTGTTATTCCAATAGTTGGAATTGGGGGTTTGGGTAAAACCACTCTTTCTAAACGGTTTACAATGATGAAAGGGTAAATAACTTCTTTCCATTAAAGATATGGACATGCGTGTCAGATGACTTCGATGTCACTAGATTGAAAAGAAATATTTATTCTGCAACAAGTGAAGATTGCAGTAAGTTAAAAGCAGATGAAATTCCTAAGCGTTTGCAGGAAATTTTGACAGGTAAAAAGTTTTTGCTTGTCTTGGTGATGTTTGGAATGAGAAGCCGAATAAATGGTTGGAATTGAAAGACTTGTTGGTGAATGGTGTCAATGGAAGTAAAATTATTGTGACACGCACGAAGTAAAAGAGTTGCAGAAATAATGAACACTATTCCCTCATTTTTTACAAGTCTTTCCAATGAGGAATCCTTGTCATTATTTAAGAGGTATGCGTTCAAAGATGAGAAGGAAAAGATTTTTCGAGGCTCATGAAATTGGGAAGGACATTGTGCGAAAATGTAAAGGTGTTCCGTTAGCTGTGGAGTCTTATGGAGCTTACTTTATGCAACACGGATGAAAGTGAGTGGTTGAAAATAAAACAAAATGACATCTGGCAAGTGGATCAAGATAATGAAGACATCTTACCGTTATTGAAATTGAGCTATGATCATTGCCTTCTCCCTTGAAGCGATGTTTTACTTATCTTTGCTTGTTTCCGAAGGATTATAATTATGACAGGGATTACGTGGGACAATTTTGGATGGCACTTGGACTTCTTAAAACCTCTGGTAAACATAAGAGCTAGAAGATGTTGCTGCTCAATATCTAAAAGTTTTATGGTCAAGGGGTTTCTTGGATGATTTCCAACAGTATGTTTTTTATTGGTCATTTAAAGTACTGATCTTATGCATGATCTTGCAATATCAATGACAAAGGGTGAGTCTGCATTCATAAATTTAGCAAGCCAAAAAGTTGATGGAAAATTTCGGCACTTTTCACATGGCGACACAGAGTTATGTGGTAGAATTTCTACAACTCATGTTGTTAACTCAAGGAGTGTTCGAAGCATTGTCTTTGCAGCAGCAAGAAATACAGAGATGCGCCTATCATTGGATCATTTATTAGTGAAGATGTATCTAACTCAAGTATCTCCGACTGCTACACTTGTGCCATAACGTTTCGAAGTGTTGCCAGATTTTATCGTACGTTGGACATTGAGGTACTTTGATCTAGCTTGGTTATTCATTGAAGAAGATCCCTGATCTTTTGCAGCTTCAAAACTTGCATATGTTAAACTTGAGGGGTTGTCGTAAGCTTAAGAAGTTGCCTAAACATACGAAAGATGATCTCCCTTAGATACTTGGAAACACCCACACAGAGGAATTCTTCCAGAAAAGGAATTGGATGTTTGAGTTCCCTTCAATATTTGCACTTACGACTGCTCCAATCTACTACGTTTGTGTGAAGGGATTCAAGTTTGAAAAGCCTCCGAACGTTGTTCTACGAAACTGCTCTGTGATCTCATTACCAACACTATCAAATACCTAACCAAACTAGAGATGTAGTGTTTGGTATTGCCCTGACATTAATTTGAAGATGGAATTGCAAGGACAAGACTGTGATCTGAGGCTGAGTCTAAAAAAATTCATAATTCATGGTTTAGAATCATTAGTGGATTTGCCCGAGGTTCTTCTTCAAGCATCTGCTAACACTCTAAAGTACATGGAGATTAAAGCGTGTGAAAGGTTAGAAGCACTACCGGAGTGGTTCCAAAATCTCACATCACTTGAAGAACTTGAGATTGCAACATGCCCCAAATTATCATCTCTTCCAGAAGGGACAGAACACCTTACTTCACTCAAGGAATTGAAGATTACAAACTGTCCTGCTCTGGTTAGACGCTGCAGACATGATGGGTCAAAAATTGCTCATATTCCGAAGGTTCATCTTATTTAAATATTGTAAGTTTTCTGTAATGACATTTATGGTGGTACCAGCTTGTTTTGTTAATGCTGGTTCGTTTTCATAGGTGGTGTGTTCTTCTTGCTTTCATTTTCATCCGCTTTCAATTTGGTTGTATTATATTGTTTCTTATGCATGAATGATGTTGTATTTTTACTTTTGAACCATCACTTTTTTATATTAAGTGTATGTTTTTGTGCTTTTTATTAATAAATTCCCTTGTACTTTCAAGGTTTTTTTTTTCTAAAAAAAATAATTATCATTTTTGTTTATTTTTCTATTCTCATTTTGTTTGTAATTATCATTAAATGGGTAATGAAAATTATTTTAAGATGTTTTATACAATTAATTCACTTCCAAATTCACTAGTGTTATTAGTTCAAAATTATATATTTATATATTTAGCGATGGCTAATTTTATTAATGCAATTATGTAAACTAAAATGGTTTAAGTTATGTAAACTTTGCTAAATAGTTGTCCCAGTGTCTTCAAAAGCCAAAAATGGGTAAATCCTTCTATTTGGAATTTTCATGTTCAACTTTCTTTATTTTACAGTTTTTACCAGAACAAAGTTGTGGGCTTGTGGATATGATATGAGAAGAAAATTGCTGAAAATTTGTGGGTTAAATTTCAAAACTCTCCACAACACCATTGAGGATGAAGAAAACTGTCTATTCAACCTCTTATCTTATGGTATATCTTGCAATTTCTAATAATTTTGAGGTAGATTTAGAGTAATATAAATTCTTA